TACACACGTGGGTCTTCTACTACTCTCTTTAACGTTATCTCATCTGTGAGACAATCTTCTTTTATTTTATCACGTGGTCTCTCGTTCAAATGTACACCAACCAAGTATTACTTGGTCAAATCTGCTGGATGCATAAATGATAATTGCCAATGCTGTGTGTTTAGGCGTGGTATGTGCATGCATAAAATCCCTGATGTTTTGGCAATGAAGCAAAATATTGATGAGTTGAACTTTGGATTGCTTTGGCGCTTTGAATCCCCTGTGAGATCACTAATTTCTGACAGTCATATGAAAAATTGGCTTCGCATTGCTACTTCGTCCATTTCAGCGAATATTGAAATTTTGCCGAACTTCATACCAAAATATCTACGCGTAAAAATACCTTTGTTGACTCTACAGTATCTTCGTTTTTTTATTGTTCCTATTATTGAGAAAGTTTGATGCAAGGGTTTTGTTTGTTTTTTCATTAACTTTTAGTCAGTGTAGCAAAACTAGAAAATAATTACCATGTTAAGTGGCCCGCGCAATTATTAGTAAACTAAATGTGTCCCGTCGGCCAAAAAGGTTGGCCGACCCTGTTCTAGAATGTGAATTTGATGATAAAGCTTATATTTTAAAAATAGACGACAATATTACCCACCACTCAAGATGCCGATTGTCGTCGGTACGTCCGTTTTCTGCCGATACTGGGAAAATGCCAGGTTAAGCTAGTAATCAGGGATGTCCAACCTTTATGGCCGAAGGGCCACATGTAGTTTACAAATGATTGTGCGGGCCACTTGACATGGTGAAAAAATTTGCTCGTACAAGTAAGTGCTGTCAAATATTGAGGTCATGAAAACTGCCTCTTCTAGCTTCATAGAAAAAAGGCAGGAAAACAGATTGAAATGCATGGTAGACAATAAAAATATAATCAAATACCTCTCTCCAGCAATAACGCCCGCAAAGAGACCTAAAAAAGCCTTCGATAGCTGGGTGGTGCTCTAAGCGCGTTTGAACGACAAGGAATGTATTTTTTTCAATAGAGGTTCCAATAGTGGCTCAGATTTGTGAGAGACATCGGGCTTCAAATTATAACGCGCGGGCCACTCGGAAACCTTCGGCGGGCTATATGTGGCCCGCGGGCCACGGGTTGGACGACCCTTAGTTAGTTTTTCCTAAGAGATTAGTCAGACGTGATGCAATGCAAATCAAAATGATTCCCCCAGCAAATGGTCGGAGCACTCGGGTGTGCTGAATACATTGACATGGCATTTATTACCGTAGACAAGGTTACCAGTAGGAACAGACCTCAGTCATTGTGGCGTACACCATATTTTTGGGGGGAGGATGAACTTGGACCGTTAACCTATGAACACGGTACCGTCATTGCCCTTAATATACACTACAGCAGTGGTTCCCAAACTTTTTAGAGTTGGGACCCACTATTTATTACCACAGCTTATGGCGACCCATTTAACTTTTTATGACATAACAAAGAACACAGCAATGGCTAATCATCGCAAAATTACCGTGTTTCTTCGAAAATAAGACCTGGCCTGAAAATAAGACCTAATTTGAATTTTAAAAATGATTTTAATTAAACCCACTCTTAAAATAAATTTAAAATGTGTGGGAGAGTAAAGGTTCAATGACTTGAGGTAGAGTGAAGTTTACACCACTTTTCAAGATTGTGTGATGTCACAATCACAATTATGATATTTGTCACTTGGTTTTTGTATAGGAAATACAAATAAAAACAATGGATGTCGGTTTTTATAAAATGTTCATTAAAAAATCTCGTGATTTTCTACAATGTAATTTTATTTTTGATAAATGAACACAAAAGACCTCTTCCAAAAAAAAAACCATAGTGTTATTCTTCAAAAGAAAATAAATCTAAATCCCTTCTAAATTTCGGGGAAACACCGTAAGAAGTGCTGTACAGTGTACAAAACTGCTATGCGTAAAAAAGCCACATGGTCATTCTTTGTGTAGCAAATTTTTGTTCCTTTGTAAAAAGGAAACTTTCACGGATTAGAATTTAAATTTAATTTTTGTTTTTTTGAAGATTTACGTATTCGAGTCGCCACCAATCCTAATAACCAGTATAATTATTCAACATCTTTTCCCGACCCACTAAGATTCCTTTTACAACCCACCAGTGGGTCGCGACCCATAGTTTGGGAACCGCTGCACTACAGTGTTAGGTAATAGATGTTCTTTGTGTTAAAATCAATATTTGTCCTTAGTCTAATCTAAGAGTGACGAACCTACTCTAGGCTGCGGTCGCTGTTTCAGTTCCAGTCGAGATCTTACATACTGAGTTCTTAGTCATACTTTGAAACCCGTTTCCTAGAATATAAAAGGGTAGGGGGCACTTTTGACATTTAAAAAAGCAAACCATAAAAAAGACGTACTTGCGGACCTAGAAAGAGCAAAAATATGAACGAGTGATCATTGAAGAATGAATGACTCGCAATGGTGGACCCGGTGGTGGAGGAATCCAAGTGGTCCAAAATCCAGATTTTATGTTCTCAGTGATAGTGGTTTTGCTATTTTAATGTCTGCGGGCCTCGCGAGTCCCGAAGCTTGTACGAAAACTTGTACGCGACACAGGAGAAGAAATCACCTACATTTTGCTGCTGAATATAAATAAATAATTATGGGCTTTTTGCTTCATGAACTTTATGCGCAAATCAGTTTATTTTTTGGATTTACTTCCGATGTCAATTATAGTAAAAAACGAATGAATTTATGGTAATTGAACCACTTCGGCGCTACCACGCCTCACAAGGTTGGCGATTTGTGCTCTTCTATTTTAAATTTTCAACCATCACTTATATATATGTTTCATTTGTTGTTTTTTTTATTCGATATGAAACTATATAAATAAAATTAGATTTTGTTTGTTTTAAACAATAAGACACTTTGCGTGTGAAACGCGCTACATCTCAGAGTTAACAGTTTAAACGCTCTGTGCCAAGCTGGAATGCGAGTGCCCAGAAGGGCGTCTAAATTGGAAATTATCAACAAGTGTTAAGCCACTAGCACATTTTGACTTTGACATTTTGTGTTGTAGGCGGGTAAGTGTTTCATTTGGCAAAGAAATAAAATGTATATTTTCTTTTATCAGCTTACGTCTGTGCTGTTACAAATTTTATTTCCAATTTCCGGCCGCACAGAATTCAATCTGTGAATCCCTTTCTGACTTCAGGGAATCTCGACTAAAACTCAATAGTCTGTTTATGCTACTCCATTTCACAGTAGCGATGCTTACTGGAAATAAGTTCGATAATCATATTAAAATTGCTAAATAAAGATGAAGGATTGGATCTATATGGTGCTCGCTAGTAGCAATTCTTTTAGTCCGTTCACACTCCCACATCGATGCAAACGACTTTGGCAGTTTTGACCACTTCTCACGTCTAAATGTCTGCCAGTAACTTTCTCACCTCCAATATTGGTACATTTGCCCAGTTAATTGTCCCGTGCCGTAAAGCTTTTGTCAATGCATTTTAATAAAACGAACTATAAGGACAAATTGATATCTACTTCCAGAGGATTGTTGATAAGCTGCAATTCTGGTTTCAGTGAATCAAAGTCAGCGAATCTGCTGTTAAACTCGTAAGTGATGTCCCCTGTTTGTCTTTCACCTAGGAATTTACAGCATGAAGGAAAATGAGTAGCATCATTTCTTTGTAAAGAAGTCGTGAGTAAAGGGTGTTTCTTGCGAAATTTTCAACGTGTCCAACCGATTCAAATATAGGTTTTTTTCCCACCTTGCAACTTCATGTATAAGATATTCAAGTGAATGGTAATATCAGTCAAGAATGCCAATGCACCAATAAACTTACCACCATTCAACTGAATCACGTATTCCGGAGTCCCTCCTATTTCATTCTGGACAAAATTGAACAATTCTTTTCGCAAAGAAAAAACATTTCACTGTTTTCCTGTATCTAATCATCGAATTTGAGAGAATAGTGGGGCATCTTCATATTCTGCATCCACATCTTTAAGGAACTGGATAAACTCCCCATGTCTATAGGTCCTATTTCTCTCTTTTATGAAGTTGATTATATTTGCAACACTATTCATAATATCACTCATGTTCAAAAGTTTGGCACATAGTGCTTCCTAGTGAATGATGCAATGCGATGTTAGGCAGTCTACACCATTATCTTTTGGAATGCCCACCAGGCCATTTCTCCTCCCTGTCATTGCTTTGGCGCCATCTGTTGCAACACATGCATATTTCTCAAAACCTCGTTAGACATCAACGGCAGAAGCGAGGCTGTTATAAATGTCTAAGCGCTTTGTGGTCCCATGAATCGGAGCTGTCTTAAGCAGTTTTTCTCGAACAACAAAGTTTTCATCAATAATGCGGATGAAAATTAAGAGTTGACTGATGTCACTGATATCTGTACTATCAAGGCCAGAGAGAAGAACCTTCACTGCTGAACTTTTCAGTTGTAAAATAACATTGTCACTCAATTCGACCGCTCTTCTCGTGACGGTATGACGAGATAAAGACACATTTCAAATATCTTTGGCAACTTTTTTTTCTCGAAAGACGAGGGACATTTTAACTGCACATTTTTTTTATTCTCACCGTCACGATAAGACCTACCATGCTTGGCGATCGTTATTGCAACTTTACATGATGATGCTTTCAAGTTTGCGGTTGAATTATTCTTGGCTAATCTGACGAGCATTTTTTTTTGCTTCAAGAAGTTACCCTTTAGTTTTTTTAAAATTGCTTTCTGAGAAGTACCGTGGTATTTCCCATTTCTTTTCTCGTTTGTGGTGTTGTAATGTCGCTTCTAATTCTACTTTTTCGTAAAATATATAACTTGAAAACACACCAGACCCTGTGGTTTACCATTGTTATGGGCAAAGAAATACGTTTTTTCCCAGATAACATCAAACTCTCTGTTTTCCTCTGTCTCCTTCTTTTGACACTCATTTTATGATGAATTGTTCTATGACTAATTTTATACGCCTAGTGCTATCGTCGAAGAACAACCAAGTCCGTCTAAATTTGGATTTTGGGACCTAGCTAAAAAAAAACGGGATCGCGCGGCGCGAAGTCAGATCTCCGTTTCGTCTGCTGTCACATGGCTCACGCTTAAAAATAGAGGTGGGTGTTTTACTAAAATGATGGCACAAAACTAGCGAAATTGAAATAAAAAGCGCGACTAATCTCATCGACCGCGCCCTCTCTTCGCAAGACAAATCATTGTACTTGCCTCTCCCCCCTCCCATTTTCTTTATTTCTTCGTGCAATCTTCCACTTATCGGAAGAATAATTTTTACTCGATATAGCTAGTGAAACTCAAAAATATTCTGCTAATAAATACAAATATCTGCCAATGATTTAATGTACGCTTAAAAATTTCTCGAGCGCCAGGGTTTGGACCACCCTGGGTTATATCATAGCAGCGTTAGAGCACAACTTTCCTTGACACAAATTAACCCTCAATACTTCGCGCAATAATTTGGGGGTTGGAAAAGGATTCCCGAATTCTTCCGTAATATATCTAGGCCGCATACTATGACCTCAAAATAAACAAATATTCTTTGTGTGACGTCACAGTGCTATTCGATAAAAGTCAAAATCCGAAAATATGCGAACATTATTTCGAACCTGCAATTGCGTCTAAAGCAAGGTAACATGGGTCGCAAAACTCGAGTTAAAGACTTTATATCGCATAGAAAAGGATGGAGAATAACGAGGGAGGAAAGTTTTCTTGCAAAAACTATTCTTAAATTGAAAAATCTTTGCCTGAAAAAGCAGAAAGAAGCTGAAAAAGAAGTGAGTACTTTGTAACAAAGCAGACCGTTTTTCTTCCTCGCTGGACGATTTTCTACCTGATATCTTCATATACAAGGGGTTACCCGAGCAGAAATCATCTATATACATTTAGTGAAGTTAAATGGAAGTTAATGGATATCACGCGGATCAGTCAAAAACAGTAGCTAATGTGAGAAATAGCGCTAAAGAGCCCATATTTGGTTGCGTTCACGGAGTTTATCTTCCAAAAGGTTGCTCTGATATTAGAGTTCAACTAAACTTCGCTTCTATTGTGAATTCTAACTGCCCGTAAAAAAACATTGGACGTCATGGAATCAAGCATCACTTCAAAGCGTGGGATCTCAATCCCATGAACGTCTTTAATTCCTTTTTATGTCTTTACACGTGTTCCGTTTTAAGTTACTGCTGACTTCCATCAGGTTACTAACTGGGAGCTTGTACGTTCTTGAATAGTGATTCGCTGTACGATTACATCATGGAGAGATGGGAATATAAAGATGCTGAACCAGGAACTCAGCTTGAATTTTTTTATTTCAAAGACTAACGGATCACAAGTATCGATCCGAATCAGATTTGTTTTCATAAAAATGCGGATAGCCAGTGTGGAAATGACACATAATTTTTTTTTTTTTTAGAAACAACGAGCATCAACATCTTGGGCAGATGATGGAGCAACATCATGTTGTTCATCTGCACCAAAACTTGGAAAAATTAAAGGAATTTATCATAACATGGTATTATATTGTATAGCTATTTACCACGATTTTATTAGCCTATTTTATAAATCAAAATAAAGTCCGATCCCAGTAATTTATACCACATATGTTTCTATTTGAATAATAGACGTAGGCCTACATAAGATTACGATCTTCCTCAGAAGATCTTTTATAGAAAAGATCCTTTTTAAAAGAAATGAATCTTTTATTCAGGTTGAATGCTGTTTTCCTCCCGGTGGACGATCGTTCGGAAGAAAAACCTGGGTAAGTTATTATATACGTGAACCTAAGTATTCAGTATCGAGAAATATTGCTAAACCGTGGAGAATGTTGCTGAACTCCTCGTCATCATAAGGTTCTTCACATAGCTTCGACTAGTACTCTGGTGCATAATATTGAATCTTGATAGGTTGACCAAGCCTCTGACTGGTGCGGTAGGAAAATGAAATCCCTTACCCCTTACCTGCAGAGAGCGATTTGTGTATGTGAAACTAATGGTATATATTTCACCCTTATTGTAACCTACTCTTTTCTACAGAAAACTCGTGTTGAAGTTGTGGATATCAGACCTGAAAAACAATATAGAACCGTAGGAACACAGTATGAAATTCAATCTCAGCTGGTTGTTCCTGATCCTTCATCCAGGAAGAATAAGAGCGTCAGATTTTCGGTACGTATGCAAAAATGTATGTCTATCAGTAATGATAATATTCTTTGTCGGAGGCTATTCGAACCTCGACTGACGGCTCCATACGCCTCATTCAAACTTCTATTCTAAACAACGATGTTGTTATTCAGTCATCATATTATGTCTATGACGTTACATAAATTTGTTTTATTAGTTTTATAAACATTTTAAAAACTACATTTCAGGTAACGATAATCCAAGTAAGTGGGGAACCTATTTCATAAAAGTTCTCTCAAACATTAGGCTTATACTGACAGAAAATTTCCATTGTTTTGCTTATAGTGGGTGTCTGTTACGTACGTTATTCGAATTTATATTATTGATCAACATCACCATTCATAGAATATAATTTTACCTATATGTGATGCATGATTTTAATCGTTGTTTTTGCATTTGCAGAATGACCTCAGGACGAGATATTACATTCCATCTCCGGTAAGTTTATAACTGAAAATACTCGATACACCAGCTAATTGAGTAATATTACCCATTGTGATTCTGTTATACAGTTCAGAATACAAGACTATAAACAGGCATATACCTACCTGGATTATCATACCAGGGAAGGTTTCGTCGGGTTGCGTTTTGTGACTAATACTCAAATGGTCTTTGGTATTGCCACCACACGAAACCCAGGTTATGTAGTTGTTACCCGTTTAGCCGTTACCCGTCAAAGCTATACTCTGGTGATGGTCCTCATTGCAATACGGTACTCTTCCGTGGGCTTATTTCTTTTCTGTTCATCCGTTCTGTCCATGGTAGTGAAGTCGTCGAAAATTTACAATCGGGCCCGATTTCTGACTTCGGGTTGTGAAAATTCTGACTCAGGCTCCAGCTCCAAATTCACGAAAAAATTAAATTTAGGTAACAAAATTGCTAGGTTTCTCCAATAGACTGTTATGGACAATTAGTAAACTTAACGCTTTTTAAGTTTCTGTAAAGTACTTCCTTATTATCATTGAAAATCTGGAATTCCAACCGCGGGGAAATTAGGAATTTTGGCTCCAATTACCAGGTGCTTGAAAATACAAATCATGGAACAAGTTAAAGCATGCCAAACTCCAATTCCACGCCCCAATCCTGATAATCTGCTCTTTGCTAAATAATAATGCATGACTGCTAAGATGACGCGGTCTGGCTGAAAAACTAACTAAGAGTAAACTAAACGGATATCTCGACAACATTACGATTTAGTGTCAGTAAATAAATGCACTCGGAGATATATTAGTTTTTAAATACCGGCAGAAACGCACGGCATTTTTTAATTATGTTTTGTTTCAGCCCCCGCATCGTTGTGAAAGTGAGGACAGCTTGGCAAAATTCATTGATCCGGTAACGTAAAATTCCTCTGTTGTTATTACAGCTAGCTTATATATAGTTATATACCAAAAGCTGGTCGCGAAAATGTTAGTGTTGAATTTGCTAGTGTTGAATAAACCTTTTTGTTGTCGGTCTCCTTTTCTCAGCAAAACAAGAGAGCAACAATGAGATTGTCATTGTCATCAGTTTTAGGTTCTTTGAGTTGGAATGCTGTTTATACAATCGCAGATAAATGGTTGTTGCTAAAGTCGTTGCCGTTATAAACAACAACACATTACTCATTCCTAGTCGGATGCGATCGCTATAATGTCGGTGTTCTTGGAATTACCGAAAACTTTGAATGCAGTTGAAGCAAGAATAATATTTGAAATATCTTTTATTTATAGGAATATCTGGATGATGAATACGATGATTGGGGTGTACAAAATGAGGTAGGTATTTAAAACTGTTATGATTCAAAAAAAGCCTGAGCGATAATCAGTGAATAAAAAATGAGCTATCTTTTCGATACGATACGACTGTTAACTAAAAATATTAGGTTGGATCGTTTTATAGTATAAATGCCAAAACTACCAAAATTAGCCTAATTGGCTAGGGCTTCATCGTCAAAAATGTTCTAAAAATAACAGCAAGATCTAACTTCGTTCGGATAGTTTTTACTAGATAGTTTCATTCAATGAGAGAAATTCTGGATACTTGTTAAAAACTGTAATACTTGGGGTTGAACGATATGACTGCATGGCTGGAGGTGGTAACCTCAGTCGCTACCAAGGGATACACGGTTGGGATAATGACCTGACTGCTTTTTGATCACCTCGCTGGTGTGATAAGTATAATCTACGTAACCTCTGAGATACCACATTCATGAAGAAAAGCCAATTTACAGACCATATGTCTGAATTTGTATGTTTTTATTCAGGCGAATTGTCCATGGCTTCGTAAGATTAAGGCGTTCTGGGTACCGCTGGATATAGAAGAAGACACCAATTACATCTGTCAAGCCATACCAGCACCTTTGAGGATTTATGCTGTAAGACGTCGTTATCAGATGCAGCAGAGGAAAAAAGCGCTGGTTGGTCAATTACAATTTTTATTATTTACTCCTACCCCAGAAAGATGGCTGTTTAGTATAAACCACTGGAATATTTTCATTTTTTTTTCTGTTAAGTCTAGTCGTGCTTTGCATAGTATTATGTGTCTTATTATATACATAGCCTAGTCAAGAATTTTGGTGACAAATACACTCACTCATGAAATACATTATGTAAAAAAAACGAAATCCGTTTTGGCAAATCTAGATTTCAAAGTATAATGATAATTTTTTTGATTGGTCACGTGGTCTAAATAGTCGAAATTTTCTACTTAATATTATTACTTTTTAATTTCAGGAGGAAGAAAAGAATAAGAATATCGTGGTGAGTGAATGTTTTTTTTCGGCGTTAGTGTATCGTTTTTGAAATTTGGAAAATTGAAATTACGACAGTGTCCGACACAAATCCGTAAACCACTAGTCACAACTACTGCTGGACGTTTTCGAATATCTAATGATTTCAAAATTGAATCGATTTTTTTTTTTTACGATTCGAATCTCGAATACGAAAATATTGTAATTTATAAAACGACGTTATTGTACTTGACTTTTTTTTTATTGTAATGGCTACCCCGGACACATAAATAATGCAAATATTAAATCCATCGTTCAGTCAGTTCAGTCAATTGTCACACACAATAAGAAACATGTCTTTCATCACTAACCCACCAGGTAAAAAAGACTTTTATGACAGAATTGCATTCCAAGAAGCGCGAGTCTAGACACGTTTCGGACATTTCGCAGATAGAATTGAAAGAAAAACAGCGACCGAAACGTTCCAACGTGATAAGTTGAAAAATTTGAGGGGCTCTTCTAAGTCTTTGTCGAACAAAAACACAAGATGACGGCAATTTGAAATTTTCACTTGAACCGACGAATAATTTACTATTCGATTTGAATGCCCAGCAGGGGCATGGCTGGGAATTCTCAAATGGGGAATTCTGAAATTTCTAATTGCCAAGTCAAACCGCAACAGCCAGTGGGTTTTAAAGAAACTTGAAGATCTAATAGCGTTTTAAGCTACGAAAAATTGCTATGTAGGAGAAACAGAAAAGGGTTATTTTTCTACATTTTAAAAGAGGAGGGGGGAGGAGTTCTGACCCCCAACCGAGACCCCCTCCCTATTTAACTTATTTTCTGTTTGTTTATGTAAATCTTTGCATTCTATTTACAGAGAGAATATGAATGCCAACTCTTGATGAACAGAATGATTTATCAACTTGAAAGTGAGGAATACGGTTTCGGGGGAGTTCTCAGTCGGGATATTGTTCCAAAAATTGATGCGGTATTTTCATATTCCTCATTTCATATATTGTCATAGTTTTTTTTTAACTTTTCATATCAGGTAAAGACGTAGCAAGCAGTTTCAACGAATATTAATATTTTTCAACTATTAGGTGTCCTAATGCGTAGGCGTACAAGACTATGTTTGTTTTCCGCCCTTTCCAAAGAGTTTCTAAAATATTCACAAAAATTGCGAGAGATTTTGATTCTTCTAGCTTTTTGCCCGAAAAATTATTTGAATTGTTTGTTCGCCGTTTGCGATTTTCAGTGATTTTTCCAATTTTAGTTGCCTGCTCTCAAAACTAGTAAAAATAATTTAACATACAGTGCTGATCCTTGCTTAATTTTTCCCCTTTTGCAGAAACGACGAGAGCTCATGGCTCTCGCCACCGAACCGAACCCGGAGAAACCAAAAGACGACTAAGAGGGGTCGTCACCAGGGGGGTGGGGGGAAGCGCTGGGGGGCTAAAAGCGCAAATTATTTCAATGGTGCACTGGACGAGACACTGTAAGTAAATTGATTAATTAGATATAGCAGTTATTTAGGACAAGTTTATTTATCACAGAGGAATATATTGTTTGTGTATATTGCATTATCCATATTATCAAAAATATGAAGTAAAGAACGTGATATGAAATATATTATTCAAATGATAACTATTCTTAGCAGTAAGGTCAATTTACAAACATAAGGAACAACAAATATATTTTTTATTTTTTGGTTCACTATTTATAGATATTTCTCGCAGTATGAAAAATGAGACTTGGGAATATCACATAAAGCTCAATTCATCTGCTGCAGGAACTAAAAACTAGTGATACCAGTCACCATCACAAGCTCTGTAAAGGAGTTTCAGGCATGCGAAACAAAGTATATGCATTGTCAGATACCGTGATCGCACAGCCTTGGTACGTATACATATCTTCATTAAGAAAATGCTCATGTTAAGGTTTCATGCAGCTCCCATTGTGAAGCTCTTGCCCCAACGAAACACAGCGCTATTGGCAAATTTTGTTTTGCATTAGAGTATAAAACGTTAGTTTACACGAGGAAATTATAGTCGATACGCCTAGCTTTATTACGCCTTTTCATTTCTATATATATAAACAGTAATAGACAGTAATAATAATAAATAGTATACTATTTATTCGCCACTTTATTGACAAAATATTTAGCGATGAAACATTTCAAACACGGATAATATAGTACAAACTGCAGAGTCATGTGCTTAAAATCATATACTTTTTTAATTAGATACTAAGAAATGTATTCATATTTCATACTCCTTATATTTAATGAGCCATTGAACTAATGCCTGCGCCTGGCGTACCTTGCGATGTTGATGAATTTGTTCAATACTGATCCTAGCATAAAATTTTTGTATTTTGTAGAAACGGCCAGAGCTTATGTCGCTCGTCACTGAACATCCCTTGAATAAAAAGCGACCAAGGGGGTCGTCAGCAGGGTGATGTTTCAGAGCGAGGGTTCAAGTTCATCGGAATAGTGCTCCGTAGGGTATGTGTGAGTATAGTAATTAAGTACATTTATATAATAATAAAATAAGCAACCGTTGTAAGGTAACAAAACAACGGAGCAATTTTTTTTTGTCACTCATTGTACTGAACATTATTTTTTTTTTAGCAACACAGGTGAATCTGTAAAAGATATTGGGGCATGCCGAGAGTAATGAGAAAATGTTATGCGATTTTATCGTGTTTCTTGTTCACTATTTCAGATATTTTTTGCAGTGTGAACAATCAGATTTGGGATTGTGACAACACATCTGATGCATTACAAAGCTCTGTAAGGGGGTTTCAGGCATGCGAAACTCGATGTGCAGTAACATTGAGAGGCACCGTGTAGCACAGCCTTGGTACGTACACATGTCTTCATCAAGAAAATACCAATGTAGATCAACTTGAAGATCCCGTTGTTGAGCGTATACAATACCCTGGTGTTCACCTGGAAATTATATTTGTTACTCCTAGCGTAGCTGGCGCACTAACACCTTTGGATTTACAAAATATGCCGGATATTATATATTCATTCGCCCCTTAACTTTGAGATTTACTGCAATTTTTCCGGGGAACATTCACCCAAAACAGGCCAAGTTTTTTTATATGTCCGTGTACGTTAACTATTCTGCTTCTTGGCGGTGAAATATTTCAAACAGGGATAATATCGTACAAAATGATGAGTCACGTGTTTCTTATGAATTACATTTTATTAGAGATGTTTTCCTTTTCCATAGTTATGCAAGTCACTGAGTTAGGACGAAGGGTCGGCCTGGCGTACTCTTCTATGTTCACGAATCTTTAAAGTACCAAACCCAGCATAATTTTTTTTGTATTTAGTAGAAACCCTCCGAGCACATGTCACTCGTCACTGAACTTCGCTCGAATCAACCAGAAGACGACTGAGGGGGTCGTCATCAGGAGAGAGGGAGTTAGTGAGTGATTCCGAGCAAGGGATCAAAATATACTGGATCGGTGCATTAGAAGATATACGTAAGTAAATTACGCAATTATATTTTAAATAGTTACGAAGACGATAATGAATTTCGATATTCATCTTACATATATCTAGAACAGAACATTCATCTAATAAAGTCTCGGAGTACAAGTTCGGATATATAAACAATTTTCAAGCGTCGCAAATGCTGCTTGAATATTATCTATTTTGGCTCTCACTACAGGGAAAACCACAAAAGGTATTGTCGTATTCATGCGTGATTATTGTAATAAGGGACAATGTATATCTTTTCATAATTCCATTAGATTAAGTTGCAGGATTGGGTGAGTGCATACAAAAAATGAATGCGAGTATAAATATAAAGCAGTATCCTGCATATACTTAAGAATTAACATATATTTTTTGCGATACAATTTTTTTCCCCTGTAAATGAAAAACAAATGTCAGGTAGTCACTAATGTATGCAAACCTTCTCTATAGACTGCTTATTCCGTACAGTCTAGGTGGGGTTTGGGTACTAAGTTTGAACAAGAGATGGACAATCTAGTGAGGATCAAATTACCGCAAGTGTGCAACTTTTACGTTTTCCCACTCAACAGGATTTTGTATTATCGGGGCCCATTTTCCATTCAATCATCTGACTCATTACTGCCGTTGTTATTAAAACTGACCCGCTTTTCAAGTGGTTAGGGAGCGTAAATTGTCTTGCTTTAAAAAGACATCGTATATCTTCTCAAGATGTCATTAGATTAAATTGCAGACATTGGTGAGTGTAAACAATTTGGAAAAAGGGAATATAATATAAAGCAGTAACTTGTACATACTCCTGAAATAAAATGTCTTGTTTTTATTGTCTTATTACCAATCGTTAAGTGTTTACTGACGTATTCGAAACTACCATAATTTTGAGGACCGTCATCTTTCCTGTTTCGCAATAGGCAGTTTAATTCGGACTGATTAGGTAGGATTGGGGCATGGGGTTTGAGCCAAAAATATTTTACCCATGGGCCAGTCTTGTAAGGATGACTAACTAGTGGGCAACTGTGTCCGTTTATATTAGTTTTTTTCAACGGAATTTTCTATTCCTAGGCCCATTTTCAGCCAATCATTTGAAATTGGAACGGAATCGTCGGAGATGTAATAAAACAGGCGTTGCGCCAAAATGAATATTGGGTATGAACCATTGATGTCAGAGTCCTTGACTACGAAAAATCTCGGCAGAGATAGATCAGAAGATGTGTTTAAGCATCCGAATGCACACGACAGGACACAGGTTTGGTACAGCATGTCTAATCATTTGTCAGGCTATCGACATTACGGTTCGTCTATATTTATCTTGTCACACTAACGCTTCTATAGATTTGCAAATCCGCCGCCAGAGTCCTGGACTACAATAAATCTCGGCAGAGATAGATGAGAAGATGTGCGCAAGCATCCGAATGTACACAGCAGGACGCAGGTTTGATACAGCACGTCTGATCATTTGTTAGGTTATCGACATTGGGGTTCGTTAATATTTATCTTGTCACACTTATGCATTCATAGATTTGCAAAACCGGCGCCAGAGTTCTCGGCTACAATAAATCTCGGTAGAGATAGATGGGAGAACGTGTGCAAGCATCCGGATGCGCGCAGAATACACAGGTTTGATACATCATGTCTGATCATTTGTTAGGCAATCGACATTACGGTTCGTCTTAATTACTTATCTTGTCACACTTATGTTTCTATAGATTTGCAATACTGGTGCCAGTGTCCGCGACTACAATAAATCTCAGCAGAGATAGATGAGAAGATGCGTGCCATCATCCGAATGCGCATGGCAGGACACAGGTTTGTTACAGCATGTCTAATCATCTGTGAGTCTATCGACATTAGGGTTTGTATATACTTATCTTGCCACACTTATGCTTCCATAGATTCGCAAAACCGGTGCCAGAGTCCTCGACTACAATAAATCTCGGCAGAGATAGATGACAGGATGTGTACAAGCATATGGATGCACACAGCGGGACACAGGTTTGGTACGACATGTCTGATCATTTGTTAGGCCATCAACATTATGGTCCGTCTATAATTACTTATCTTGTCACACTTATGTTTCTATAGATTTGCAAAGCTGGCCTCGACTACAATGAATCTCGGCAGAGATAGATCAGAACATGCGTACCATCATCCGAATGCACATGGCAGGACATAGGTTTGTTACAGCATGTCTAATCATCTGTGAGGCTATCGACATTACGGTTCGTCTATTTATCTTGTCACACTAACGCTTCTATAGATTTGCAAATCCGCCGCCAGAGTCCTGGACTACAATAAATCTCGGCAGAGATAGATGAGAAGATGTGTGCAAGCATCCAGCAGGACACAGTTTCGGTACAGCATGTCTGATCATTTGTTAGGTTATCGACATTAGGGTTCGTTAATATTTATCTTGTCACACTTATGCTTCCATAGATTCGCCAAACCGGCGCCAGAGTCCTCGGCTACAATAAATTTCGACAGAGATAGATCAGAATATGCATGCAAGCATTCTGTTGCATACGGCGGGGCACCGGTTCGGTACAGCATGTCTGATTATTTGTAAGGATATCGACATTATGGCCCATCTATACTTATCTTGTAACAATTATACTTCCATAGATTTGCAAAACTGGTTCCAGAGTCCTCGACTACAATAAATTTCGACAGAGATAGATCAGAAGATGCATGCAAGCATTCTGTTGCATACGGCGCAACACCGGTTCGGTACAGCATGTCTGATTGTTTGTAAGGATATCGCCATTATGGCATATCTATACTTATCTTGTAACACTTATACTTCCATAGATTTGCAAAACTGGCGCCAGAGTCATCGACTACAATAAATCTCGGCAGAGATAGATCAGAAGATGTGTGCAAGCATCCGGCAGGACACAGGTTCGGTACAGCATGTGTGATTATTTGTGAGGCTATCGACATTACGATTTATCTATATATACTCATCTTGTAACACTTATGCTTCCATATAGACTTGCAAAACTGGCGCCAGAGTCCTCGACTACAATAAATCTCGGCAGAGATAGATCACTATCAGAAGATGCGCGCAAGCTACCGCCAGGACACAGTTTCGGTACAGCATGTCTGATTATATGTGAGGCTATCGACATTACGATTCATCCATACTTATTTTGTCACACTTATGCTTCCATATAGATTTGCAAACTGGCGCCAGAGTCCTTGACTACAATAAATCTCGGCAGAGATTGATCAGAAGATGCGCGCAAGCATCCGGCAGGACACAGGTTCGGTACAGCATGTCTGATCATTTGTGAGGCTAATATATACAATCTAGGCTCATCACCCTAGCTCTCACGACCTGAAAGGATGTAATGTATGTTTTACAAACATGTCTCATATCAAGCGATTACGAATTATTTTATTGTACAGAAATTGTGAAATTGCGTTGAAAATAAAGAAGTTTGAAAGATGTTAAACTAAAGTAATCATTTGTGGTGTTTACAAATTGCACCGAAAAAATCATCGGAGAATTTTGCTCTCAGCATGCAATTTCAGTTTACAAACGACTTACAGCTTCGCAGTTCCAGTGCGTCTGAACGTTGATGAAAAACATTTTTGTGCTGTTGCCCTATATTCATCACATTCTTACTTCCATTTTCCTACATTTCTAAAATTTTGTGTTTTTATCATTCAATTCGCGAGTTTTTTTTCACCATATCTGTCGATTATAAACAAGGCCAGCACTCTCAACTAAATAAATCTTTCAGTGCATAGTATATTAATGATACTATTTTTTTTTCAATTTCCAGGTGCAGCGTTCAGATATACTGTTGTATTTTCTCAGACAGTGAAGGAGACGACAAGAACTGGTTATGGATGATTCGACCCTCAGCAATTTGCTCAAATTAAAAACATTTATCGTATAGACTATACTATAGAGTTTAGTTCTGTACACTTTGTCATCTTTTTATATGTTTTATTTAACTGATGTTATTAGTCTTAAAATACATGATATATATTATTTTTTGTAATAATATTGTTATTTGTGTTAATGTGTGCAAATGGGGGAAACAAAGTATCTGCCAGGGACGGGGATCTTGATTAGGCTCAAACGCAAGGTTAGCCAATGTGATGGGCACTAGCATGTCGTTCTATGTGTTTCCAACTACTGGTCTGCAGTAAACATTACGGTTCACTATTTAGTTGACGCTTGTCGGCCGAAAATATTTTCGCTTTTGGCCCGCTGTCCCAGACTGTCAAAACACAAACTAGTACCTTTTTTTCAAAATTCCTATTCTATGTTCAACACCGTGCCTCGTGAGAATAGACCTTAGTCATTCAAAACCCATCTTACGCGCAAAAATAAAAGTGGCTTAAACAAAACGATTTCAACATTAGCTCTTATGGACCTTTCCCCGGGCATCGACTTCCTTGTTTACTTCGTGACATTGGCTAATCAGCAAGATGCAAAAAAGGTGTATTAGTGTAGAAATAGCTGTGATAGACTATGCTAAAATTCTTTACCGGCACTTTTAAAAACAGATTGTTGTATGCGATGAATCATGATGATGGTTTGAAACACATACCCCATTCTACAGGCACCAACTCGCAAAAGCACTCCTAAAATAGCACCGAAAATTTTGCAATGGTAAAGTATGAGAAGAATTTTTTGGGGGTCAAAGGTCGGGAAAAGGTTCATGGGGAATGTGATCACCAGAGCATAAATTTGCATTTTTTGTAATTTTGTAGTTATCTTTCATCGTAGTCGTGTGCAGTTTTAAGAATAGAATATTTTCATCATGATAAACATGATCAAGATTTGTGATATCGTTCATTGAAATTATAACGGGCGTGGTGTTGCCGCTGACGTCACTCCACCTACTAGACCTTGACATTCTGCCAACGCGTTGTGGTCTGTGAAATATGCGCTTCAACTGCTCGTGTTTTCTTATTACGCGTTAAAAGAATACGGGGACCACAACATACCGTGTTTGGCGTTTAAAGAAAGACCTATTTTAGTTAGTAAAGTTTAGCCGGAAGGACAGTCTGTTCATGTATTCAGTCAGATTCACTTTTCCTTACTGGCTTTTCGCATATTCTACCGGTATAGCGAGCGACCTTTCTCTGAAGGCACGCTGACAGGTTTTTAACTGAGTTCAATAGTTAGGATACCGTTACTGATTAATGGAATAGATTGAGTACCGGTACGATACTGGTGGTTTAAAATAAATAACAAGTCAGCTTGCCTTCAGTAGATGTTTGCTAACTGTACAGGTAAAACCAGTAAACAAACGCGAGTGAAATACTATAAAACAAGAGAGCTATGCTCAAATATATGGACACGTAGCGCCACCCAATGGCAATAATTTTGAATATAAAAGTAATAGAAAAGTAATAAATAGCCTTCTGGAGAAAAATTTTATCTTTAACCACTGAAAATTTCAAAGCAATTGGTCCAGTATTCGAAGAGAAAAGCGATTTTTTAAAAATGATGGAGACAAATAATAACAACAAGAGAGCTATGCTTAAATAAATGGACACGTAGCGCCACCCAGTGGAAATAATTTTGATGACGTCATAGCGAAAAAAAAGGTAATAGCCTTCTGGAGAAAATTTTTATCTTCAACTACTGAAAATTTCAAAGCAATTGGTCCAGTATCGAAGAGAAAAGCGATTTCTTCAAAACGTGTCAAAGAACAAGGACACTAAGAACAAGGACACTAAGAACAACAACAGCATAATATTGAAACGATCGCTATGTCCACTACGTGTCCAATAACAACATAATATTGAAACGATCGTTATGTCCACTAAAAGTGTCCAATAATGTCATATTACATGCTCCCACTACCGGTACTTTACCCAAGGGGCCAAGGCGACACTAGCGCGCATATTTCACAGGTTGGCAGAATGTCATGGACCAGGTGGAGTGTCGTCAGCGGCAACACCGCGCCCATAAAAATTTTAAATTTACGATTATCAGAAATCTTGACCAGGTTTATCATGATAAAAATATATAAAAAATATTTTGTTCTTAAAACGGCACACGTCTACAATGAAAGATAAATAGAAAATTACAAAAAAGCAAATTTCTGCTCGTTTTGTTTAAGCCACTTTTATTTTTGCGCGTAGGATGGGTTTTGAATGACCGAGGTCTATTGTCAATGTGGCCATAAAACGTTATAGAACATAAAGTTACTTACTATATGGTGTGTATATAAAATAGCTTTTATTGTATAGTTGCTTCGCGAATTCGAAGTTGTAGAAATTAAAAAACGCTATCTTGTTCGTAAATGAATTCAAGGCAGCACTTTGTGCCAAATTGAATGGCTGCAAAGTGCTTCGCTGAAAGACGATTTCACGAGTTACCTTCTGGGAAACCCCCATCATAGAGAGCGTACGAATGTAACGCTTCAGTGAGCTAGAAGGCGGAACAGTTGTTGATTTTACGCGATGCTAGTCGAGCGTTACCGGTAAGTGTTATAACAGAAACCCGTTGTCGATTCATAAGCCTATAGCATTTTCATATTATGGAGGTTGATAACGTTGAAAGCTTAAACAACAAAGTTCTGGTCGAGGAAATACCAGCTTGTATAAGCAGAGAAAAGCTTATGATTTACTTCCAAAGGCAGGGAGATGTGCAGTCAGTTGTATTCCCGTTGTCGAAGAAGCAGAGCAGTACAGCCGTTATTAAGTTCCATAAACCTGCAGGTAAGACAAACCTCATTCTGAAACTACCTAGTTTTCGGGTTTAACTCGCGGCTTGCCATTTGGCAGATATACATATATATAATGTATCTGTATTTATCTCACTCTCCGCATTCAAAGAGATAATCCTTTCAAAGATATCTTCCATTCATCCTTTTAATAATAGTACATGAACAATGGTAGAAATTACCCGTCAACTAACTGTAACCACCGTTAAAGAAGTCTGATTACAATTATATTTCCACATATTTTGAGTTTCCGAAGTCAGTTACCATATCGCGTGGCCCAGGTAAAGCGATGAGATAAGCAATCACAAAATTATTGTGCACCAATATTCCAATTAATGCGAAGAAGATTAACTATTCTGTACGCACAACCCTTCCGTACCAGCTCTTCCCACAATTCTGTCTTGTAGACCGATGGATTTCCTTATTAGGTACTTATCGATCTTAAGATCAGTAAGTATATATGTTGATAGGTATTTGTCTGTTTGTTTGTTTGTCTGTCTGTTAAATACACGCGATATCTCACGAAAGCGAGGTTGAATCTGCTTCAAATTTTGCATGTGCATTCATCATATCTCGGATCAGAAGCCTATTGATTTTGGATGAATTATGTCGTATAATTAGCAAGTTATTACCTAATTAGTGATGAGAATATCTGGATTTTTGCAAATCGAGAAAACGATTTTTACAAAGCGAGAGATTTTTGAGACGCGCTGAATGTGTGTGTGTGCGATGCGCAAGTTTTCACGCTAGTGAGTCAGAGCGAAGGATACACGCCGCGAGATCGTATCTCGTTACTTATAATTACTCTTCAAAGCAATGTCATACTCATATGCCTCTATCTGGTTCGGGGTTGCAGAATTCCTCACCAAAATACCGCTGTGTTTGGTTAGCCGTCGCAACCCGGGTTAGCGCCGTTGTATTTGTGACAAAATATAGGATTGGTAAATAGGCTATTGGCTGGAAACTAATCGAAACAATCCAGTTCGGATTTACAGAATTCCTCATAAAAGTATTTCTCTGAGTAGTATTTCGACGACGACGTGGGGAGTTGGCTATTGTTTCCTACATTTTTGATATTGGCTGAAAACTAATCGAAACAATCCAGTTCGGGTTTGCAGAATTTTTCGAATCGAAACCGCAGTTTTTGTTTTGGGGGATTCCCTAACTTTCGATCGATAAGTCTTCGGTCTCTGACCGATATTCTCGTTCAGTGTTTTATTACATATGTTTTAATCACCTTTATTTAAAATTACCATTTGCTGTATTATCTTTTGCAGATGTGGCGAAAGTATTAAAAACGTCACACAATATTTCACGGAAATTGAATAGTAAAGAAGCCAAGCCGATCAAAGTTTCCGAATTCAAACCAGAGGTAATTCAGATTCATGGAAAGCAAATGGCTAACTCAGAATTTTACACACGACATTTGCTATATAAATATATACTTGTTTTGTCTTATAACTCGTTTACATGTTGTTCAGTACATTACGAAAAATAGGAAATTGTGGGGAATGAACCGTCTGCCATAGAATAATTGCTTATACTCAATACATAGATTTTAAAAATCGAATATAATTTTACAGATTTTCGTCAATGTCACGACGCAGGTAGACAAAAAGATATTAGCAAATTTGCGCCCAGAATTTGATCATGGCGAGGTTATCGAGGAAACTGGACTTGGTTGGGGAGAGGAGACCGGTCTTTACAAATTTATTGGTATGAAAATCATTCATAGTGTACAACACTACACGTCATCCTCGATTGTCGGCAATGGAATTATCTCCGTCCGCGTGGGCATATGATACCACACCTCACGTCACGGGTCGGCAACTTTTTGTCGCTCGCGGGCCAAAATTAAGGGTTGCGAGTCATTGATTAAACGGATGCTACTTTTTATAATAAAAATCAAGCAGTGATACATATCTCGAATTAAATATAGATTTATATTTTCTCATTGCATTGCATCTCAAAAAAATTCATTTGAATATTTTCTGCGCCATTGAACCCTTTGCACTTAGCATCATCTGTTCCGCGTTTGGTGCCATTTGTCTAATTATAATTAAATTATAATCTCATTAAACGAGTAATTGTGAATTTTATACTTGTTAGATTATAATATAATTTAGTCTACACGTGTCTCGCAATAAATTCTGCTACTAAAGAATATAATCGACAAAACAGCTGTTTTGTACTATAATTCAGCGAAGCGTCGCGGGCCGGATTCTATTACTCCGCGGGCCGCAGGTTGCCAACCCTTGCTTTACGTTGTTAGGCATAGTCGAGCTAACGTTTGAATTTTGTTCTAGCTAGAGTTTTAGCAGATGTACCTGTTTTTCATGACTGTCCTGAAGTTAGCCCGTGATACTGAATTTATCTACGGATAAAAGACAACTACATTCACTAATTCACCATTCTTGTACACAGTGTTCTCTCTAAGAAAATATTACACTGCGCAATTGTTTGTTTTAGCGAGCATGAATATTTTAAGACTGGGCAGAGTCCTATATGATTTACAAACTTTGTGAAATATTACAACAACAATATGTTATCAGAATGCGAACAAAGTACGTACACATTTAAATCAGTTTTTCCTTGTTATTGTGTGATTTTTCAATGTTTATACCCTTTGTCCATGTTTATTGCTTGCCCGCGGGCATCGTTCAGCGCTGGCACTGTAAGTTGGGTTAGCTCTTTCATGAGGATTCAGAAGAAATCCAAGTACTTGGACGTAACAGACACGTGTGTGACATCACAGTGGACAGTGACAACGTAAATACTCGTGAAACATGAAACGGGCATTTCAGCGAGATGTTAGAAAGTATGGAGAGACACGCATCGCTTTTTAAAACGTAATGTTACAGATTCAGATTCAGTACAGTTGCGCGAGAATGAAATTTTACCACGCAAATGATCTGGTGGTACTGCGCAATGGCACGGATGCGCACCTTAGATGCGTACATCGGGCGGGTATGGAATGTTTTGTGTTCAATTTACCAAGTCAGTATTTGATGTCCTTTGTTTGATTTTCATTGGCATAGCTGTATGTTGTTGTCGAGCGTCAAACAGACAAAATTTAAAATGAATACTTGCGTTTATAATAATGGTAAATAAACTTGAGTATATCTATGTGAATAGACGAGCTATGCCAAGCTTTGGATGCATGTAGGACGTAGGTGCACCTATGTCGAAGATCATACTGAAAAGACGTGAAAAGAAAATTTTAACCGCTGCATTGTATTAAGTTAAACATTTACGTCAATGCATGTATGCACACAGTACGTCTGCACGCCTGATATCAGCATAACTGCATATATTGAAACTTGCACAGCTGCATATAATAAAATTTTGAAAATTTGATATCTATTTTACAGGTGAATTATACCAAATAAGAAAACTGTATGAAATTTTGAATGACTTGACCACCGCTTCTGACGACCGCAGCACACACAAGATGGAATTTTCCGATGGTGGTACAATTGTGACAGATTACATTGGTTATACTGGCATGTTTCGTTTTAGAGACATTTGCTTTCCATGTTTGAAACAACCTAGATTCCTAGAAGATGGATATGCTTTAGAGATATTATCTGCAATATGTTATTTTGGATCATTTTTTGCTGCAATATGTGTTATCTCGGAATACCATTTTGAAAATTTTTAAACTCTAACTTATTTTGCTCAACTTTGTGGACAAATATTCCATTCTATATTTTCATTGTTTCAAAGTAAATTAATTCAAAATACTCGAGAGTCTTTCTGTCTGAAACATTTTTAGTGTTGTTATATTTTTTTCAAATCCCGACAATAGTCATACATATAGTAATCAAAATTTATGGTTTAAACTTTAAGATTAAAGCAATACGTTTTTTTTATTTTGTTTGAAGAAAAAACATCAGGAGCAGAAAATGAACGGGAAAACGTGGGACGCCAAAACAAAGTTCAGTTGGATAAAGACATTTTCAAGTATATGAAAAACAATAACACTGGAGATATATGGGAAATTATGTAAGTTTACAAGTTAGCTACTTGTGCAATTGATACCTACAGTCGTTGTGTGAGATATCATTACCACAAAGAAGAATTATTAAGATTGATTCAGTTACTTCAGTAAAGCTTATCCAATTTCTTTAACTTTGATTTAGGTGATTTCTAAACATTTTACAATTTCAACTTATTCCAAATTAGGTAAACTACTGTACTTGTAAAACTACTGAAACCCTGACTAGTGATATGAGTATATAGGTTGCCTCGAGCCCACGACATGTCTGACTACGAGTCCAAGTTCATGTTGGACACGAAATGGACCTATGGATCGCTTTGTTGTTGTTGATTATCATGTTAGTATGTCTTTTTTCCTTCTTGTGAAAAAAATCGCCTCGAAACTACTGGACCAATTCCTAGAAGGCTATTATTTCAAAAATTTCTGTGGTCTCTGTGGGATTCGTTTTTCGTGTGCCATGATGTCATCGCAATTATGAAATGGCGCTCCCTGTGGCGGTTCCGCTTTTGCGTAATTTCAAATCTGCTGCTTAGGTACGATACGGTACCAGAAGGATACAGTGACAGATTGCATACCCGTACCATTTTGTGTCTATGTATTTGAGCATCGCTCTCTCATATTTGAATACCCACTTATGAGAACTAAGGCCTGTCCGTCTTGTATTTAATAGTATATGTGAACACATTCTCTTTTCAGGAATTATTATGGTGTTCATACTACAGAAATAGACGGCGCTATAATGCTTGAATTTCGGCCAGATCGCGCAGAGGAAGGAATACGTAAAGTACAAGATTTATATATAAAAACACAGGATTCATTAGCCCAAACGGAATATGAATTACCTTCGAGTGTTTCAATTCGAAAAGCAAAGAAATGCATCGATATTGTGGAAACGGAGCAACAAGATGTGATTGTCTGTTTATCAGCTGACGAAAATACGGTTTCATTTATTGGAGGTTATATGTTGCCTTGTGTTCAAGCTATGAACACTTTTAAATCTTTAATCGGAGACGAATCACAGCCGTCGTTTGATGATGCAAGCCGTTCAGTTGTTCGATCTCAGCCTATTCGCGAGTTCGAAAAACTTTTCGAGTTCACTTACCCTGGTACTGGTGGGCTTACAATAAGGGTTGTGCAAGGCGATATTGCCAAACAAAGCACAGATGCAATCGTAAATGCTGCCAACAAATATTTGGATGACGGAGCTGGTGTTACAGGAGCAATTTTTAGGGCTGGAGGTTATGAGTTTAACATCGGCTGTCAGAGTTTAATGGAAAGTAGGAATAGTAAAAAACTCAAAATTGGAGAAGTTGTCCATACAGATGCATGCGGAAGATTGAGATGCAAACAGTAAGTGGTATCTTTATTGGTTCAAAAATCTTAATCAGCTTCATATACGGTGTTTCGTTGCCGCTCCCGAAGCATGTACACCAAGATGGCGCACAATCTGAACGCTAACCTGGTACAAATACCACCAGGTTGTGCGCCATCTTGGTTAACATACTTCTGGAGCTCCGTTTCGTTTTTTTGACATTATAATTAAAATTTGCGTTTAAACAGTTTTTGTTTTACGACAATATTCTGGCGATTGCTCAAACAGTTGTGTTGATATATATTTTTTTATAAAACGTCATATGGATCAAATTCATTTCAGTGTGCTTCACGTCGTCGGACCAAAATGGCATAAGTTACCACGAAACGATAGGATCAGAACATGCAAAAATTATATGGAAGGTTTATGTTGGAAATTAATCACTTATGCGAATAATAAGACAACATCAAATTCCATCGCAATTCCAGCAATTAGTACAGGTAATGACGATGATGTGTCACGAAATTGTGTCACTCAAAATTGTATTTTTTCGTGCTAAGTTGGTACTAAATACTTGAAGATTTATTTTATGTTTGTTGTTGTTTATCTTTTTCTCATTTCTCATTTTGAGGTACTCATAATATTCAACCTTCACCTGTGTAAAAATATGCATGTAGCCTATATAATTGCATAAGAAATACTCTCATTGGTAACGGGTAAAAGTACAAATACTCGAGAAATATATATGTCAATTAGGCATTTTGTCGACTTCCTGCTGCTATTTGAAATTGAGTAGAATGACAGGAGCTTGGCCATATCTCATGGAAATATATTAGTGCACATAAAGCAGACTTATGTATCGTTTTGCTGAAATGTCACTTTTTTTAAACAACGGACCTATCGCTTCTGCATTTTACTAGTTGTGGAAATGCCTCATAGAAGCCTATTACTTGGGAGACGAAGTAGATCTATGAGTCTATTTGTTATTATGTTGTTGTTGTTCTCTGGACCAATTGCTGGACCAATTGCATTGAAATTTTGAGATCGCTTTTCACTTTGAAGTTTTGTGTGATGACGTCATCAAAATTAATAATTGCGCACCGTGTTGCGGTTCCGCGATAAAATTTTAGCGAGTTCTTTGACAAGGTAGATTACCGGTTGCGGTATTGTGAATGAGTTGATAACACTTTGCCTGGGCCTCCGTGTCCATATATTTGAGCATTACTCTCTTTGTTTTCTATGGATATTGCTGGCTGTGAAAATTGAGCTGATACGCGATTTTTAGCTGGTGAATTCGACGAACAGCTTTTCACTTTGAAGTTTTGTGTGATGACGTCATCAAAATTAATAATTGCGCACCGTGTTGCGGTTACGCGATAAAATTTTAGCGAGTTCTTTGACAAGGTAGATTACCGGTTGCGGTATTGTGAATGAGTTGATAACACTTTGCCTGGGCCTCCGTGTCCATATATTTGAGCATTACTCTCTTTGTTTTCTATGGATATTGCTGGCTGTGAAAATTGAGCTGATACGCGATTTTTAGCTGGTGAATTCGACGAACAGCTAATATTAAGCAATAACTATGTCCATCACTAGCACATACTTCTGTATCTTATTATTAGTTGGACCTCATTCAGGGGCTTTTTATATTCAGGTATATACGGTGTTCCGATGGGCTATTTTTGTGAAGCGATGTTGGAGAGCGTCAATGATTTTAACAAATCATTGGAAAAAGGGGAATATGGAGCAATATTGCGTGAAGTACGATTGGTCGGATACAGCCAATCTGAAGCCAATGAAATTGCTGATTATTTCAAGAGAAATCTTCGCACACTACAAGAATCTGAAGTTTGAAATAGCACATGAATCAGAACGTTTTGTTTCAAATGTTAACTATTTTACAAACGTCGTTATTGGATTTCCTCGAAATTGCTATTACCGTACATGTGCAAATGCTATATATCCTAAGCTTATATCACTGTAAGTGATTATTTTGTAGTATATATATATATACTTCTTAATTTTTATAATCTCCATAGCATACAATGTACATTTTCTATTATGTGCTTTTCGTTTTTTCTTCAAATCGGGTAAATCTGTTTTAACAATAATGCTTTTATATTTAATTAGTCAATAAGTGGAAAAGCATATGGTAAAACAATGATATCTCCAAATCAACTTACTCAAACTCAGCGGACGTTACTATTGCATTTTAGAAATTTGATCTGTATATGCCAAGCTGACCGAGCGCTCTATTGCTCATAATCCTGTGATCGTTATCTCGAAATGTGCTCTGTTGAAGATAATGAAAGTATTTATATCACTATCGTTAAAACTTGGTCATCGTGATATTTTTCTAAAATGTTTTAGTACGGACTGTGGTATCGAACTCAACGAAAGTAAGTTTGTTAAAGATTTAGGCTTCAGTCACCGTAACCATCGCCTCACCATGGGTATAACTTCCGACACATCGAGACAGTGGATCACTTCATATGAGTGGATTTTTGGATGGATACTATTACTTGATACTAGCTTCGAATATTCAGAAGTTAGAAATTTCAAAACTTTTCCTCAACTGTCCTTGGGCGTCCTTAGCCCAGGAACCTGGATTATGACTTGACCAACTTTTATTACTAGTATCCCAAACTTTGTTTTTTACACAGCGCGGCTTCGCTGCAGCGCGCGGTGACAGATCGATCGCTTTCTAAAAAGACTTTTGAACACGAAAAAGACCTATGGATCGTTTTTCTTAAATATTATTGTTACAAAATAAATCCATTCTCTAGTCTAGAAGCATATTACTTTTGTATTTTGACGATTTTTTGGCTCGCTTGGGCCGTGTTTCACATATATATGATTTTAAATAATCTAATTGTTGATTATGAATGTGATCGTAGATTCCACTGTTCAATTTTGACAACGTAATAAATGCTTTCCGCCGTATCGGCAATACTAACTTCACTTCGTATGCTTGCAGATATATTAATTAGTTTCTCTTTCCAATCGGGCATAAGAAGTTGATATATCTGCTACACTGGGGTCTCCAACACCTGACTTGTTCTATATTGCAATACAATGAAGTCCGTATTATTGGATAGAACATGTATTAATGAATTGAAAAAAAAAAATAATATGAAAATAAAGAAACAAAAAAAGAAATAATGTGACATCATTTTACAGATGTCTAAAATGTCTAGTGAGAGATAGGCATCGACGAAAGTTGTTCTCCGATCAACGGTCGTTATGAAAACAGGTCAAACAGTTATGACACGACCAGATCTGGTCACCTTTGCCATGTGCATTGCCATTGCATAATGATGCAATAGATTTATAAAACTTCGCCTATCCTATGTGGAGTGTAGATACAGTCCATCGACATATTCTCTCTCATCTTTGGATAAAGCGAACTTTGAAGTCATAGGGTGAGTACGCAACTCCATAAACTCCTTTCTCGAGAGGAGGTAGTGGATGTGCCGGATCTGATTCAATCCTGAATTGTTGTAACATTGCCACCAAAAATAAAAACACTTCTTTCCTGGCCAACTGTTCGCCCATGCAATTTCGCGGCCCGACTGAAAAGCTCACGACGTGTTTGCTAAGAATGAAGTTGTGGTTTGAGTCGATAAATCTTTCGGGTCGAAACTTTTCCGGATCTTCAAATATTTCTGGATCATTGTGTACAGCCCAAAAATTGGGCATAACCTGAAAAAAAATATTACTTAGTAATTTGAAATGAATTATAAAGAGATAAAGGTACAAATTAATTTATTTACGCAAATAGATAATCGTTATTAGCAGTTTTGAACAAGGCCAAACCAGCAATAAACAGTCCGTCGTGCTGATCATCAGGCAATTAGTTTCAAATCCCAAAGAAATCTATGGCTACAAAACTGTCCTGATTCATTAGTCAGGTATAGAGATAGTTATATGGTCAAAATCGACATTTGAAGTCCCACTGCCGAGTCTATTTTCAATCCTGCAATAACGTACGGAGTAAGAAACAACAAAGCAATAAAATATACCTATTCTAACTCACCGGTGTATTTTTTGGAATATTGAAACCTCGTATATTGACATCTGTGGTAGTTTTTCTTGGCATAGATAGGGGAGTAATTGTATAAAGTCTTTGCGTTTCTTGTATAAAAGCTGATGTAAATGGCATCGACATTTTATGTTTTAATGACGGTGTTCCGCTGCTACCTATAGACAATTGAAAAAACGTTGAGTAAAGAAGCGCTATCGTACTTTTTCATTAGAATACAAACTGAGCAATCGTTCACAGCGAAAAAATTCTTTAGATCAATCAATTGTACAAAGTTGAACATGACGCGTGACAAATTGCTGTTAGTGTGAATATAAACAAAAAATTTCAACAGTGTCACAAAGTTAACCAAAATTTTCGAGTATCGTTGTTGGAATAAGTATTATATTAGCATTGGTTTTCTATTACTTGTTGCGAAACAAATTAAGTTAAAATTATAGGTCTATATTATTGTAGGAAAAGTAAGATATTTTGTACCATAAAATAAAAAAAATTGATATAATATAAATCAGAAAATTAGAGATCAGAAAAAAATTTTGTTCTCCATGTCGTCTCTTACCTATATTGTCAGAAATTTCTTTCTCAATTTTCCTCTGATATTCAGGATGATGAGCTAACACTAAAATCATCCACAAAATTAAAGTCGATGACGTTTCAGTGCCTGCTTGGAACAGTTCGTTGACCGCGTGAATCACCTGAACGTCCTGTAAAACAAAATCATAGATTTTTGCATATGTTGAAATATAGAAAAATTCAATAAATTAATGAAAAATAAACCTATTTACCTCAAAAAATGAGTCAAAAGAACACTTTTAAAACGGAAAGAAACTCAAAACACACAAATTTCTATCCATAACAATTTCAATTAAAATACGAACCATTGCTGATGCGCCGCATTACAAAATTTAACTATTCCCATTGTTAAACAAATAATAACAAACAAACTTACATCAAACATTTTGCTTTCGCTCGGACGTTTCTTTGCTTCGATGAAAAATTCGTCGATTACATCACGCGGATTCTCGGGATCAAAAGTCATCTTATGTTCGTCTACGAATTGTCGTATTACTTCTGCAAGGAAATATGATATAATAACCGTATCTTATGTTATAAAACTTGTACCAACCATTTAAAATCCAAACCTTAACACTAGATACATGTTAAAGGTAAAAAAAACGTCGGGTTTCAACTTCGAGCCTGTCATATTTGTTAGGAGAAATAACTGTGAATTTCAGTAAAAATATAATTTTCCAACATTAGTGAACCACAATTGTTTATATAATAAATCTTTCTGGTGGATTCGCGTTTTCCCAATCGAGTAAGTTAGATTGAGTGAGTATGAATTTCATGGAAAATATGAAATATCAACTCTTTTTTAAATATTAGTTACAATTAAACTCAAAAAATTGTTAAATTAAATTTTGCCCGCTGGTATCGGGTAAAATAACCAGAAACACATTATCTTCTATTTATTGATTGTATGGAAATGTACGACATTCATTTCATATAATAGTTATTTTTACCTTTAATTCTTCCCACGCTTTTGGAAAATTTCGCAAATGTCGTTCGAAACCTAGGAAGGTATCTCAGCATCGGAAAAAAGAACATAATTCCAAACAATGTCCCATCAATTCTATCTGTAAAACTAAAAGAGATATTGTGATTAAATAATATTTTTTTTTTCAAACCAAGCAGTTAATAAGGTAACCGTAGTTTAATGGTGTAGTAGTTATAACTGAAGTTTGCATTATTGGTACCTTTTCCATGATAAAGTAAGTAAAGATGCTAATTATTAATGATAAAATTTTATTCTATCCAAATAAAGAGTCCAGCTCCGCACTAACACAAATGTATTTCTGTAACGTTTCGTCCGGCCAAAGTCAGACTTCCCCAGAAAAGCAGTTTACAACAATGGCCATTTTTCTGAAGATGTCTGACTTTGGTCGGACGAAACGTTACGGAAATACATTTGTGTTAGTGTGTAGCTGGACTCTTTGATTGGATAGAACAGTCATGTTTATTCCAGCTACAGCATCCTTGCAGTGTACGCATACGGATCCACTAGCATAAAGGCATAAAGGAAAGATAGAGAGTTAGTCTCGCGCAACCTAATTAAAATTTTAGTTGGTTTTTGTGGATATCTCGTGAGCATATTATCATCGTGATTCTATTTAAGTCCTGTTTACTCTCTAGATAGGCTATTCGTGCAGGGCCTTGTTTGGAGCGTAAGTAGTCAAGAAGCGTTGTATAAAACCTTCGATTCGGGTAAAAATTGGCGAAACGAATAAATACCCAGACTTTTCGTATAAGTTCATATAGTGGTAAATTTTACCCAACACGATACATAACGTGGGGTGTAAAATTTGAACCTTAAATAAAGTACTTACTAATCTTTCAATCGAGTGACGATTTCAATAAAACGTTCATCATCGTATGGAAGTCTACTTCCTATAGATATATTCATCACTATGTTTGAAACGGCTCTTGCAATATGGATCTAAAATGTAAAAAAGGTTTAGAGTGCTTCTAAAAGGTAAGTATAAGTATGTAAAATTTAGCACAAATTTTTTAATTATAAATTGATTGTACTTTTGAAGTGTGGACACGGATTATTTCCTGGTAAATTAACGTAAATTCTGATGTTCAGTCGTACTGCAGATCTCTGCTATATTATTAATAAAGTCTCTTCATAAACATCAATAAATTGTACCCGACGCTTCCAGATAAATGTGCTCTTTCATATCAATCACTGCTGGCGCAGAGCCTTGCCAGGAAAGAAAAAGTGACAGTATATAAAGTAAAGTTGCGCATATGACTGTACCTTAGGATCAGTTGCTTTTCCATCTTCTACATATAAAGTTTCGTTCAGATATCGAGATTCTTCGACTATGGCTGATTCAAACCTTCCTTTGCCTGCTGATAATCTACAAAATAATGACATTTTGAGGTTGGTTTCAAATTCAAAATTTATTCGATGTAACAAACAGTCTATGTGGCCATCAGTTTGAATATAAGCGGACTTGTATAAGCAGCTCGAACTCGTAATCAAACTCTAGGATGGTGTAGGTCCAAATCTTGGTCAAAGTGTCCAACATGATAAATGTCGCGTAACCAAAAAATATAAATATGATTTGTGTTCTGCGCTCAATTCAAATTTTTTTCGGAACCGAGCCAGATAAGTGCGAAAATATCACTGTTCAATACAAAAGAAAAACTCAAGAGTTTTATTTTGAAGACAAACAGTATACAATTTTTTTTCGGAATGGATGTTAATTGCAGTAGTCAAATCTCGCTCGGCCAATTAACTTTGCAAAACTAGATCACAGCTTACCTTCTTAATGCTTTAGATAAGAATGCTCGTTGAATTTTCCACATTTCTCCGTAATCATTGAAGCCCATGCCATTACCATGTCCGCTCAAAACGTCCAGAATAACAACATTTGGTCGTCCGGAAAACGCATGGCCTTGGGTAACGTAAGCCTGGAAAAGAAAAGGATTTTTGCAATCTCAAAATTTTTTCTCTTCATTTTCAATTTAACTATTCGATTGGGTTTCTGGCATATAGAACACTATAGAATAAATTGGGAATGGCAATGGAAATTCATTTCTGTAATCTGCTCAAAGCAAGCTCTCTGAAGTAATGACAACTCATCTCCGAGCGAAGTTACGGGGAATTACTGATGTGCTGAAAGCTACCTACACTAAATAGAATTATGGTGACGCATTACGCCTTATTGATATGTGACAACTCACAAGACCTAAATTTTTTCACGTGAAAGCATTGGAACTGGAGACAACATAGGTGTATCGTATCAGAATGATCTACGCAATTACATTTATTGTTTTATGTCGCTAACTGCCATGAAAATACATCGTAAAACACTTACCTCGTAAATGCTTTTGTAATCGTTCAAAACGATCCAATTCTTCGAGCCTATTTGTACAGAGAATATAGAACCGTACTTGTTTTTCATATTCATGTAGGTGATCGCTGGATTTTCGCCCAAAAATGGGGCATAACCGACTAAAGGCAGTCCTAGTGGACCTGGTGGAAATCTTTTTGGTCTCTTCCGAAGCCATGCACAGTATAGCAAGAAGCATAAAGTTGTTATTAAAAACAGAAGAAGAGAATCCATTTCAAGATGTAAATCTGTGAAAAATTGTAAAAAAATACTAAACAGTAGAAAAATAACTCAATATCGAGCAACTTCGGAAATACCCCAGAATACCCCGATTCCACGACGCCAAAAAATGGCGTATATATTTTACCCAGTAATATTACTTCAACTTAAAATTCGAACGATAAACAAACTTGAAAATGTAATATCCTATCAGTGCATGACCAAGTACAGCCAAAGCTTGCTGTACACATAAATCAAAAGCTATTTAACGTACCAGAACTCAATCAAAATATACGCCATCTTGATTCCTTGCTAACTTTTTATACCAATGATAAAACAAACAGCCCAGCTTTAACAATTTTCAAACATTTTAAGCCTCTCTTAGGGGCACCTTAAAATTGTCCGAAGGGTTTTTTGACATATAGACTAAACCACTGACGACAATAAATGATTATACCCTCCGGCGACTGGAAGTCAGACGGGGACTCTATTTTTGATTGATGGATTATACCTATATGGTGTAAAATATTTGTCGCCTAAGAAAATTGATGGAAATTTTGAGCAAATTATTCGATTCCAATAAGACGGGCGTACAAGAGTTTTATACCCTTTTGATATCTAGTATTTTTTAAATATATCTAAAATTGCGAATCTATCATTATCATCAATTTATTCGATACGAGAGCCTTACTTGCACACCAACACCGTATTTCCGTAACGTTCGTTTGACCGAAGTCAGAATTCCTAAGTGAAGTTGGTGCGCAGCAAGACTCTTGGATCACTTATTATAGTCATCTCAATTCTTGCTACGGATATATCCCTTTACGCATATGGATAAGTGCAAAAGTATAGACAAAGGATGGGTATATCTCCCGTAACCCCAACTGAATATAACTCATTTTGGACATCTCTGCTTCAGACTAAAATTCCCAAAAAGTATTTGAATTCATGACATTGCGTTATTATATAACCACACTGAAACAACAAATTACTTAACCTAAAATAACAAAAAAATTGGTAGTTCACACTTGAAGGTAATTAGTTCAATTGATGACATTCGCGAACAATAAGTTTACGGAAATGACGATTACAACAAATTGTACAATTTATTTAGTTAAATAGATACATAACCCAACACTTCAACCTAAAAGCATTCTTGGCCTTCACACCTTAGGTGAAATTAGAAGTATTTAGATCATTTTGTGTATTTTGTTTTGTCAAGTGGTTCTTAATCCAACAGGATTAATGTTGAAAACACTGTTAGAAATAATGGCAAAATTAATTGTCGTTCCGTAGTATATCCCCTGGTTAAATATGTTTATCGATTTAGCAGGTAAATTGCTAATCTAAGTGTCGTAGATGAATTTATTACAAAACTAAAAAATGACAATTTCGGATTTAGTTTGGTATTTTAGCCTGTTTACCGACCTACAAGAATGGGCAATGGTGATTAATTCTAATATAAATTTAACCATTTTAGCGTAGTGTTAGAACAGGCTAAAAGAAATTCAAATTCGGCTATACCCCTGACATAGACTTGCTTTTTAGCTGTCATAATCACAACTTGGTCAGAGTTAAAAACCGAGAAAAAGAACAAATTGTACTCGGACTTGATATACTTGTATATATAGTACTATATAACTTACAGATAAATTTATAGCTGGCACCTAATTCCACATCATGGTACATGTGTAAACGGGTCGAAGATAGGAAGGCGAATAGCAAAAATGCTGACTCTTTTTAACGGTTTGAAACCTATTTTGATTTCATTTGTTATCCTAATCGTGATGAAAGATGCAACTTGAAGAATTAAAAATAATCTTTTTATGATAAAAATTAAAATTTTTAGCTTGTTTAAAACTTGTCGTGTTACCCGCCGTTTGTTATATGTGTACATTAGAATGGAAAACAAATGTCGGAATTAGTATTAAAGGAGCATCGGACGTATTATTCTACAGCAAATACAAGGGATTTGACATTGTAAAACCAACATTAAATTAAACCGGAACATTCCAATCATGTCGTTTGACCCTGGAATCGGAAAGTTCATATTGAGATTAGCGAAAACTAATTTGTCATTACAAAACGTCTGGATAGGTGTGACATGATAGATAATTATGTCAAAATTCTGGAACGCGTATAGGCGAAATGTATAAGAAAAAATTGTCTCGGCCAAGGGTAACACCAATATAAATCGCGCAATAGATGAAGACTTCGTATGAGTGAATTTTAGAAACGGCAGTCCAAATGCCGAGTAAAAATTAATCATACATGTTTGTTTCAATTATGATAGGTCATGAAACTGAAAGATCCATCACTGAAACAAGTATGGAATAAAGGTTTATATTATAAGTGTGAATGAAAACGAGCGCTTATCTTGTTGTTAACATGGTATTGAGGCATTAAAATTCAACGCAGGTGAATATTTTTATTTTAACACCTTATACGGACGTGCGTTTTATTAATTGACTCATTAGCAAGGGATTATAAACATAGAACGGAAGCGGGGTTTGTTAATTTTATTCCAGCTGCCCGGCCTTTGATGAACACTGCGAAGGCTCCCAAACACCTTATAAACCACGTATTCGCGGTCCACGGTCGCTCTCTTGACAAACGGAACATTGAATCTTGCTCTTGGCTTTGAGAGTACACATATTATCAAAAGTTGAAAAATATTGTTATATAACAGGGATGGCGAACCACTGACCCGCGGGTCACAAAGTGACCCACCGCGTTTTATTCGTGGCCCGCCAAGGCACGAATAAAATAAGAAAAATGCTAACATATCAGTGATAAAAAATAATAAAATCGGCCTTAAATTAATCTAACAATACCTAAACTGTTATAATGTACCGTCAGTTGGGCAGTCAGGGCTGCGATCGCTTATATTCAAATTGTTAACTTTCGATATGATAATATTCAAAACCCCTAATCTTGGACGCATGTCTGCACCGTTGTGTGCCGTTATTCAGCTATTGGCTCTGACATAGTTTATGACATAACAATCCAATTGATGTTCATTTCTCGCAACGTCTTGTCTCTTAAGAAGTGCATCTGCAGACTGTTTTAGGGGTTGTACGAGAACTAGATGCCACTTTGCATTTTCTTAGTTTCTCGCCTACAATGCCGTTGAGAATACAAAATCTTTCAGACTTGAAATAAAAACCTAGAAATCTGGAATAACAATGGGGCAGTGTAAAAGTGCTTTTAATATGGTTAAAGCTGATAAAAATATAGCACTATCAGAGTGGAATTCCCTTCAAACTCTTTGGAACCGTAAAATAATTTGCCGCATCATCCTAAACGTAATTCATATGTGTGTTTTCGTACCCTCAATCGAGTGCCATAAAAAGTTCCTGATAAAGTGCTGTAAAGTAAAACACTAAACTACACCAACATCAACAGAAGCTTAAAGGATTTGTTTCAGAAGTTTCTTATAGATACAAACATTGATTAAATATCTGTGACCCACTCTCTTCTGTTCCGCGATAAAAATATGATTTTTGACCAATTCATTGAAAAAGGTTCGCCATCCCTGTTATATAAGTATAACATTTGGCACTGAGTGTTCCCTCAATATTATTCGTGAAATGTACACAACCTATTTCATTGTGAACACGGAGTAGTTTTAAAGGTATTATACGCAATTCATTTATAACTTTTGTCGATCATGAGCTAAATCAGTGGTTCCCAAACTTTTTTGACCATCGCCCCCCTAAAGTAGTTTATACAACTTCATCGCCCCCCAGCACTACAAAAAAATGTAAAGTCAGAAACGAATATATTACAGACCAAATGAGAAGACAAATCATAGTTTATAGTGTTTGTTAATGAGATGGATGAGCTTGGTGTTCTTCAGCAAGTTTTTTATTAGTAGCACGGCTCAAAAACCCTTTTTCACCATATATTAGGTCGGAAATGAAATAATCCAGGGTTCTATCTCCTTAAAAAACGTCGTGTACTCTTGCCTTATAGCATTTCACTTCCTAAATTCACCAAATTTCACATTAAATTAATGAAAGCAAAGTTAATTTTCGCATATATTTTTTAAAAGTTAAAAACGGAACAACGCGCGAAAACTGAGACAATTCGTGAACTCAACTCAGTCGTCTTATTAAAAAACATTACAATGACATTTAATGTGACACTGTCATGTTGATGCATCACGCTTGATAGCTTTACGACGCCAAGATTGGAACATTTGCTAAATGGGCATCACTAATCCCAGTTCTTCGCTTGTTCTTTGTAATGTCTCCATTTTCGAAAAAAATTGTTTTCACAAAAATATGTACTTCCAAACATCTAAGTGAATATTCTCGCATGGTTTGTGAAATTTTGATAAAGATTTTTTTTAGGAAGATACTTTCTTACAAAAATTACGCAGTGATGAATCTCTCGAATAGAATATGAATTTTAATTCCTTATTGCATTGCAATATATTCGAGTACTTACTGCGCTATTGAACCCCTGCCCTCAGCATCAACTTTTTTTCCTCGTGTTTCCATTTGTCTAATTATAATTAAATTGTAGGCTCGTTAAACGAGTAGCTAGCTGTTTAATAGAATTTTTAGGATATAATAAAATTTAGTCTAAAAGTGTCTCACGATAAATTCTGTTACGTAAAAAAATGTAATTTACTCCTCGAGCGTAGATTATAAATAAAATAAATTCATCGTCAAAACCGCCGTTTGGATGTTTCCCCGGGCATAGACTTCCTTGCTTACATCGTGACATTGGCCAATCAGCAAGATGCAAAAATAAACGTAACAATGCCCCCTTTCGCATCCTCTCAGACAGACTTTCAGGCGTAGTCGTGAACATTCCTCATTTTTGAATTAAATTCGTTAGTTTTTAGTTGTTTTTCGGAAATTTAAATAAAAAATTATATAAGTCAATGATTACTTTGTCCTCCTATGAGTTTCAGTTTAAATACGGTAATCAAAAATTGGTGTAGAAATAGCTGTGATAGACTATAGGCTAAATTTTTTTATCGGTACTTTTAAAAAACAGATTGTTGAATGGTATGAATTAGAATGATAGTTTGAAACAAATACCCTATTTTACAGGCAAACACTCGCGAAACCACTCTTAAAAATAAGCACCGAAAATTTAAAAATGATAAAGTATATAGGAAGAATTTTACGCGGTCAAAGGTCGGGGATAGAGCTATTGAGTGAATCGTCCCGGGCCATATTTTTTTACTTAAGCCGTATTTTGTCGACCACTGGGATACCGTACCTTACTGCGGAGACGAGTCCAGAAATCCTTTCGCGTGTGATAATCGACCACGTGAATCAAGTCTGCGAATGCACACAGCGTAGGCTACAGAATTGAGTGCACGATACGCAGAACAATAACAGATTTCGCGAAATCGCCCCCCTATCGCCCCCTTCGACCTTTTCGCCCCCCTCTGTATCGTTTTCGCCCACCGGGGGGCGATATCGCCCACTTTGGGAATCACTGAGCTAAATGGTTTAAATCATACATACTTCAATCTAGATTCT